ACTTGATTAGTCTTTACGTTGATAAAGGAGACTTTGAACTTTATTTTTGAAACAGTAAGGTTGATTATACCATTTATAGTTATTGCAATTTTAAATTAGTTCCAAATTCAAACGAGTTCGATAACGTTTTATTGGCGTTAGAACTGTCAAAATTAAACTGAGGCGGTTTGAAGATGATATCAAGAAACATATATCTATCTCTTTTAGTCGTACGATTTTTTTATGTTATTTTTTTTTTAATAATATATTTGCTGTAACAACTTCATAAGGTAGTTCGATTAACTATTAAATTGGAGTTTTTGTTAAAACACGCAACTTATAAACATGTTTTTTGTTAAAAAAATCAATTTTGATACTAATCTAAATTAAAAATTACTATTGTAAATGAACAGTGTATATTTTGCTGGATAGATGTCGCCAAACTCAAATATATAAAAAATATTTTTACCTACATTTTGATCGTTACTTTTGGAAATAATAGACGAAAACAAAGAATCTATTGTAACATTTAAAACAGTATTGTTAAGAATAGTGTTTGCTACTTTTTAAACTAGATGGCGCTACTTTTACATTGAAAGTGTTTCGAGAAATACCAGATTGCAGAACTAATTTCCGTGAGTCAGCATAGACATGTTTCTTTACACGCTTAATGTTTTTTTTTTTTTAAATCTTCGTAAGTTATGATTAACAAGCATCTGTCTAGTTTCTAAAAGTTGAAAAAAATCTTTTTAAACATTACTAAAGTCGACGTAAATTTTATTTGAATTTAGTGTTTTACAGCTTGCATAGACATTCAGACACAAAAAAAATTTAAATGTGATTTTGATGTAATTTGGAATTTTTCTTTTCCACACAGAAAACAGGCGTAAAGTGGAATTAATTCCGCATTTCGTCTGATGAGTGTGGTGCTGGAGGCCTAATTTTAGTCCTTTTCCCTTTCCACCCTTTTCTTAAGAGGTAAGGGTGGGAAGGAAAAGTGAAGAAAAAGATTTGACGGTGGAGGAGACGCATAGGAAGGGGAAATGTTCTCTTGCGTTGCGTCTCCTCCTCCGTCAATTAAGGATAGGCAACGCATCTGCAATTGCGGATGTTTATGGGCAGCGGTCGCTTTCCATTTCGGTGGATTGAGGTAGCCGCTTGCTCGTTTGTCATCTTATATTAAAAAAAAAAACAAACAGACACTCCAATTTTATTATATGTGAAAAATGTTACAACTGTCAACTGTGACTCCTCTATTTGAATCTTTGATAGAATTATCGATTGTTTTAATTTTATCCCTTTATTAGTGGTACAGGCTCTTGTAATAAGATACAAGGAGATTTGTGTGTAGCGCGAAGGGAAGTCGCTCCCAAGGAAGTGGCTGCGGTTAGCGGTGTAACACTCACATAGAATACCATCATTGTAGTAATTAGTGGGATAATAAAATTTATAAAATAAGACACGATATCTAACTTAACTAAGCTTAAGTTTTTAAATAAATGCGAAACTTTAGATAGATGTTAGTTAGTAAACTGCTGAACGAATGTCGATGTTAAAGCATAGATGTAGAGCATAATCTAGAAAACAGACTACTTTCTTTATTAAACTCCACGCTGACGGAGGCAAGATATAGATATATTACTAACAAGTTGTTGCCCGTAACTTCGTCTGCATGAAATTAAAAAAAGAATGAAAACATAGGCTGTTTCTGATAGTGTTTTAATGGTTTTTTTTTTCATGCAAATGTCCAAAAATACAAATCTATCCTATTTATAATCTATGCTATTATAATAAAGCGTAAATATACGCTTCTTTGTTGCCTAAGATGTCAGCAATTACACCATATTTTTGGATACTTCTTTTTAAATAAAAAGGTCTACACTTACGTCACGCTTTAGGCTACACATTTTCACGCTATTAAACTTAGGGGCTAAATATTTTGGATGAAAACCCTAATGTAGGAAAGAGACCAAAAGTTGCTGCCAACATCAAGGAAGCAAGTTTGTCATTATGTCATGTCATTTTGTCATTTGTAATTGATAATTTGACAAATGTAAACAATGAAATAAAATTTTCATAATTTCATGCGGATGAAGTCGCATGGGAACAGCTAGTATTAGTATAAACAAGATCTTTAAATGGGAATTTGAAATCTATCTATTGCAAACTTTAGTTTTTAGATTTATAGATTTGGTACTATAAATGATAAATTAATATAACACCTTTATAAATAGAATAAAAACGGATAAAACAGATACGACTTCCGATCACGCGCGTCGAAAGCGAAACCAGTAATAAACGAAAAACTGGTATTTTTTTGTTGACGTGACCCGACAGTGACTGGCAGTGGCTTCTTATCAAAGTGAGACATAACTTCACGATACTGCCTTTCGAAAGTACTGCCAAAACTAGTATTAGGGTACTGCGAGGTAGGGGACCGTCCAGGGCGGAAAAGGCTCCATAACCTTATAGGGGCGTCTGTTTCGTACGGGTTACAGTGAGAAGGACACCTCAAGCTTAGAGGGGCGACTTATAAATCTCGCCCAGGGCGCCGTTAATGCCGTTCTTGAGTATAGTAACGGATTTTTAAATTCAGGAACCGTTTATAAAGTATCTATCTATCGGACTAAAGGAGATAGTAACTTCTGCACTTACAAAGTTGACCTGATGAAACTATCAAGAAGTCCGTGTGTTAGGCCCTTTGTTGTTAGTCACCACTGTTATACTTGAAACAATAACTTAAGCAACAATTGTAGTAAATTAATCTTTCAAATTAAATGTATAAAAATGTTGGTAACACAAAGAAATGCGATTTTACGTCTAAAAACGGGAGATTTTGTGATAGTCCAAATTAAAATTTTAACCACAACATAAAAGTGAAATGGTAAACGCTTGTTTTCTTTTTGATTGATATTTCTGTTCTTAGTTTGTTTTGTGTTTCAAATGTTACATCTGACCGTAACAAATTGAAGAAATAACAATGAAATTTATTGAACAATACACATTAATGAATAACTATTTGTTAACTATTTTACTTAAATTGAACACTAGTTAATGCTCGCGATTTTGTCCTTTTGAAATGTTACTTAGCGTACCTTTCCAATGGTGAAAGAATTTTTCATATCGGCCTAGTAGTTTTTGAGTTATTTCAATATATACAAAAATACAAATCTTTACTCTTAAATTAGTGGATATTCAAAAAGTGAATTTTACTTGAAATCTACAATAATTTCTAGTATTTTTTTAGTATAAGTTTTGAATTGTTCAAGCTTTACAAATCCTTAATATTCCCATAGATTCCCATAGATTATGAATGCATCTAAACAGCACATCGCTTCATTGAGAGATCCCCACATCGGTCGAGTAACCAGTCGAGTAGGCGGCGGAGTGAATGGAGCATTTTTTGTGCGAGTACACTTGTCTAAATCAGTGTGAAATTAGTTGCCGCCGCTGCGACTCGACTAGTTTTCTTGCGCGATGTGGGGTTATACTGCCAGCGGTTTTAAATTATACAAGATTTTTTTTAATTATACTGTCATTTTTATGTGTTTACTTTTATTAGGTAATATTTATGTTCTTGATTTTTTATTCCGTTAAGATACGCTATTTTCGATTTAGAAATCAATTGCTTGTACAATTGTTTATGTAGTTTAAAAACTTATTGTTTTAAAAATTGTGGCACGGATTAATCACTGGAAGACAACTTAAATTTCGTTGATTTTAATAAGATTATTAAAATAAAACTTGGAATTCAAATGAATTATTAAAAAAAACTCATCAGTATTATTTAGCATTTCATTTGCATTCGTTGTTTAGATTAATTTAAAAAATTAAATTTGTTTAAATTTCAATAAATCAACGTCCAAAAGATCAGTTTTACAGTGCCTAATAATCACTAGTAATCAATGATTTAAATCAGATTTTTAAATATACTCCCGTTAGAATTCGGGCCACACCTTTACCAAAAACCTATAACCGCTCATAGATAAGGCGGAGGCTGTTCTGATTCGTTGAAAATGGAAGCATGCAACTTATTTCTTGACTATGATACTGCACAATAAACCTTCAGTTCACACCGAAATATAAAAAAAAATATCGATAGACATTATATTATTTAAAAAAAAGATTTCAAGTTACACATCTATTTGTGTTATAGTCTTTGCCACCAAAGGATAATAAACATTTATGGTTTCATTTTATACCATTAACAAACTAGTAACTGAATAATTATTTATTCTCTTATAAATATCTTATTATTATCATACTAATATAAATGTTTTAGATGGATGGATGTTTGTTAGAGTTTGTAGCCTAAACGGCTGAACAGATTTCGATGAAATTTGGTATAGATGTAGAGGATAGTCTGAAAGAACACATAGGATACTCACTATTGTTTTTTTTTAATTTAACGCGGAAGGAGTCGCGGGCGAAAGCTAGTAATGTTATAAAATTGGTTTGTATTATATACTTATGTTGGGTTTCTGAAGTTTTCATTTATTTAATTATTACCTAGTGATTCATTATTATGTTAATATAAGTTTTAAAAGAGTAAAACTCAAGTTACGTAGTTCAGAATTATTTTATAAATTTATCGAGCCATAAGCACTATCGAATGGTTAAAAGTAGTTTGGAAATCATTGACAGTGGTAGAGCCCGCTTTAACATCTTCACACGAATGAGTCGGCTCGCCCGGTGCAATACCACGACCACACAGAAAACAGGCGTGAAGTGGAAGCAATTCCGTATCGTCTGATGAGTGTGGTGCCGGAGGCCCTACTTTAGTCCCTATTCCTTCCCACCTTTTTTCTTATACGAAAAGGATGGGAAGGGAACGTGGATTTGACGGTACAGGGGACGCATAGAAAAGGGAAATATACTCTTCATGTGTGTCTCCTCCGCTGATTAAGGGTAGGCAACGCATCTGCAATTGCGGATGTCTATGAGCAGCGGTCGCGGTTCAGATGACCGGTTGGTTGTTTGTCACCTTATGATATAAAAAAAAAGTTTTATAATGCACTTACCATCTCCGCCCTGGCCGCTGCTGTGTGCGTGGTACTGCTCGTCTGTGAAATCATACTCTACATCAGCTCAGACATCTGCTCTATATAACAATGACACAAACACCCTGTATATGGTGTTTGTAAATAACGATGATAGAACAGCCTGTATAGAGGACATCTGTAAATCACATTTATAGAAGTCTTGGTGTAAGTGATGTCCATGTAAATCTTACTAATATTATATTTAGATAGATTAGTGTATGAATGAATATTAGTTAATTTGTAGCCTAAATTGCTGAACAAATCTGGATGAAATTTAGAATAGATGTAGTATGAACACAGTCTACTTATTTTTTTTTATTCCACGCGGACAGAGTCTCGGACGAAAGTTATACATTATATTTGACTATGGTAATTTGGATAATAGATGGATGGACATCCTGTATAATATCTATTGAAGTAATTTGTGATTTGGTAAGTTTTTAAGTCCGGGCAAAATTTATACAGAGTGATTTTTTTCATTAATTAAAGTTAAAAATTTATTTAACTAATTAGGAATACTGACCTCCATTCCGATGTTCATTGGTGATCATCTCCTGGCTCTGCAACGTTGGAGCATGGATGAGGACCTTCTGTTGAGGGCTGTGGGGGTCCAGACCCTCAACTTCCAGCAGTGGCGCATGTGGCTCATAGCCATGCACCACCAGGGTAGGCGCATGGATGTCCATCGCGTACCCCCCTACACCATCACTCTTGTACGAATCAATTTTTGCGAATTACCCTCACTTTTATATAAAAAAAACTATTTTAGTTGGCTGGATTGCACTTGAGTATGCTAGAGTATTCTTGTTATTTGAAGGAACTATTTAGTCGTTTTACAGAATGTCCTAATTCTACACTTGACTGTCACATCGTAATATTGTATATTGTTTTCACGTCACCGTACTTTCTTTCTCATTTTCAATCGTAGTTTCACCATTTTGTTACCTATAACAAAAAAATACAATAAATATAATTTTAAATTCAGAATCAAAGAGATTCAAAAATATAGAGGAGGCATAGTTGACATTTGAAACATTTTTCACATAATCTCACTAACGCTGTATATAATTCATCATCATAATCCTTATCCTACTCCCGTAGTATCGGCACAACAGGTTTTTATCCTCCACATAACTCTATCATACGTCATCTCAGCCATCACTCCCTCGATCATGTCACCTTTCACGCAATCCATCTCTTTCTATGTCTACCTCTACCGGTGTACCACACTCGTAACTTTCACACACCTTTGCCATAACATGCCCCCATGCTAACCTTTTACTCCTTACCTACCACTGGTGCTACTGTCAAATTTCTTTCTATTTGTATTTAAATGTTTTTAACACGGTTTAGTTTATTTTCTTACAAAAGACGGAGCTTATTATAATTTTATAAAAAGTTTTATTACATGTCAATACAATACGACGTGGTACTAAATTTGACAACTGATATAGTACCTTTCAAGCTTCCGGTGAAAAAAATTCTTCATTATGCCTCGTCTATACAATTTTTAAATATCTTTGCTTAGTATCTATACTATTATAAAAAAGCGTAAACACACACTTCTTTGTTCCCTAAGATATCAACAATTACAGCATGTTTTAAAAAAAAATCTTTTTTTAATAAAAAGCCCTATAGTTAAGTCACGCTTTAGGCTATATATTTTTACGCTATTAAACTTAGGTGAGGTAAATATTTTGGATAAAAACCCTAATATGGGAAAGAGACCATAAGTTACTGCCAACATCAAGGAAGCAAAATTTCCATTGAAAGGTAATTGGTATTTTGACATTTGCAATTGAGAATTGACAAATGTAAACAATAAAATAAAATTTTCATAATTTTATGCGGATGAAGTCGCACGGGAACAGCTAGTAACATAATAATAATTGCAACAGAATTTTACTATACAAAAAAGTCCGCCCGAACAGGGACTTGAACCCTGGACCCTTGGATTAAAAGTCCAATGCTCTACCGACTGAGCTATCCGGGCTCTATACGTCAATGTCAAATTAGCCTTGTTATTTAGATAGAGTAACAACCCGAAACATTTAAAAACTTTCAAGTTTAAAATTAAATCTATATAAAACAATATAAAGCTTGCAAATAAATCAAGTTGAGCTTCCGTTTTGCAAATAAAACGTTCTGCAGTTTATTTTAACAAAGTCCGGCGTCGCCTCCAACCATTGTTTTCTGTACCACAGAGGTATGAAACTAGTGGAGTGGGTAAACAATAAATAAATCTATTAAACTTTTTTCAATTTTTCACATTACAAAACGCGGGTGCATAATTTAGGTACGTATTAAATTATTTATGTAAGCATGTTCATGTTTTTTAATATATTTGCATTTTAAAATTAGATATATTTTTTATATAGCTAGTGTCGTGTATGTTATCTTTTAAACCTGTGTTTAATTATTGTTTTGAATTATGTTACTATGTTATGTTATGTTGTGGTACGGGCATGTTATGAGGGGTACATCGGTAGAGGTAGACCTAGAAAGAGATGGATGGATTGCGTGAAAGATGACGTGATCAAGAAGGGAGTGATGACTGAGATGACGGATGATAGAGTCCTTTGGAGGACGAAAACCCGGTGCGTTGACCCTACGGGAGTAGGATAAGGCAGGGGGGATGATGATGATGATGAGTTAAGTTACTCAAGGACATTATAGCATTTCTGTTCAAATATTTTTTAAAATCAGTCCGGTAGTTTGTAAGTTAATTTATTTTAAACATTTTAATCCTTTCAATAAGCGTATTGTCTATACCTTTCATAGCTCTATGTAACAATTGGGTAAAACAGAGCTCATCGCCTGCGCTCCCACAGGACGGCCTTTTGTTCTCAAATTCTAATGTTACTGCATTCCATACAACGTTTAATGTGTACTTACAAAATACTGTATTTACTCCTTCATAATATACTAGGTTTTGCCCGCGACTCTGTCCCCGTGGAATTAAAAAAAAAAGTGAATGGCCTGTGTGTTCTTCCAGACTATTCCCTACATCTGTACAAAATTTCATCGAAATCCGTTCAGGCGTTTAGGCTACAAACTCTAACATCCATCCATCCATCTAAACTTTCGCATTTACAAGCATTTGAAGGATGACTAGCTGTTGCTCGCGACTTCATTCCCATGAAATTACAAAATAATATAAAACATAGCCTATGTTACTCAGAGAAAAATTGCCTTTCTAATGGTAAAAGAATTTTTAAAAGCGACCCAATAGTTTTTGTATTATTATAATATGTAAAAAAATACAAATATTTCCTCTTTACAATATTAGGTAAATTCGAAAGAAAAAATCAAAAGAAAGAAAAGAGATGTAGAATTAACCTAGAAGTTAAATTAAGTTATTTAACTGCATAAGTTAAGTAATTTTGTTGTCTTTGTATTAGTTAATTCCTTAAAATAGCTGTCTTTATCACCAAAAGTTTAAATATTCAATAAGCACAAGCCTACAGTCAACGGCCATCCTACACAAGGCTGTGGGAACTCTCTAACAATGACTGAGACACATGAGATTGTTGCCGAAGATATATCGCGAGATATCGCATTTAAAACTTTGCCTGAACAGGTTTTTGAGATTACCTCGTATTTTTAAAATGCGTTTTTAAATTTAACTTTGAGAGTTGTAGAGGAAAAATAATATACTTTGAAAATAATTATTATTTATTACTGAATGTAATTTTCATCTTTTTTAATCTTCACACACTACTCCAGTATCGTGTATATTATTTATGATTAGTAAATAAGTTAATAATAAAACTAATTTGACTTTTAAAAGAAAATTAAAAGTTCTTTTATTATCTTTTCAAAAACGTTAAACTCATAAAGTATAATACTATTTTTAAATTTAAATTTATATCTTTTCCCTTGATTCTTTTCTCTCTCTTTTAAAACAGTTAACATATTATGCGCACATTCTATTTGTGTTATTCCAATAAAGACTCTTTTAATCTGTGTTGTAGTTTTGCATACATTTTATTTTTCATAACATGTTTATGTACGAATTTTTTCTTTCATTTTATTTTTACTCATGTGTATGTGATAATTTATACTTATCCACTGCTACTACTGACGTGTGGATGATCCCAAGGGTTCTCGCGGAAGATCAGCGTTGGTACTTCAATAGGAGCATCCAGCATTTATAGCTGAGCGAGGGCCCAATCCGGTCAGCATTGCAACGCTAATTTTAAATATTTCTTTTTCTTTTTTTCATTTCATTAGTTATTTTTCTCATTATTTTGTGTTTTAATATTTTTTTTTCATAATTGTAGTGTTGACAAGGATTAAACATTATTTTATTTATTTATATTTTTATTTTTTAAATAGATGTTTTGTTTCATTTTGAATTCAATATATCAAAATTTTCTTGTAAATTATCCGAAGATATATCGTTAAGTTTTTAGACCGTGTATAAGGATTTTCCCACGCGTCATATCCGGCGATTTATATCTGCAATTCTGCTTACCTCCATAAAGGTAGGTTTAATGACATTCCTATATACAATTTCTTTGTTTTATTAATTAAATTTTTGTTAGAAAACTAATCCAGTATGATAAAATATAACTTTCATCATCTACCCTGACTTATCCTACTCCCGTAGGGCGCACCGGGTTTTCGTCCTCCAAATAACTCTATCATCAGTCATCTCAGTCATCACTCCTTTCTTGATTATGTCACCTTTCAATCCATCCATCTCTTTCTAGGTCTACCTCTACCGGTGTACCTCCACACTCATAACGTCCTTATTATCTTAATTTCATCTTTTTGATTTTATGAAATTAAAAAATATACTCTCCGTAAATAAACTTTAGGTTTTCTACAAAAAATCGAATGCAAAGTGTGAGACAACCCTTATTTTACAAATTACAATAAAAAGTTCGTCAATAACAAGGTGTCAGAAACAATATAATGACGTAATGACGTGAGAAAGTCAAGATGTCTCCAAACTCACACTAACTTAATGATGTACCACAATTCGATAGAAAACATTGTTTAAAACCTTCAGTTTCCACTGCCGGAATACATGTATAGAAACACTTTCATCCCTTTATAAAAATAAAGATACCAATATGTTTGTTGCAAATTTTGCAATAGTAAAATAGACATAAAAATATTGTACCATTTAAATTAGAGTAAATCAAACTAATAATATACATGCCTAATTTTGGATGGATGTTTGTAACTTCGAAACGGTTAAACGGTTAGTCTGGAAAGCGACATAGCTACTTACTAAGTTTTTATTGAATTCGGACAAAGTCATGGGCAAAAGCTAGTTAAACATAATTAAGAATCATTAATATTAATTAATTGTTAGTCAAATGTAATTCTTCTGTTTATTTTCCATAATAAAATAATCCATACGTAATTAAACGTAACCAACTTCAAAATTATGCAATAATTGATAAGAGTTTGAAGTGCTCTGTAGTAAAACAGATATGTTAATTTCAACAAATATTCCACTGCCCGGATAGCTCAGTCGGTAGAGCATTGGACTTTTAATCCAAGGGTCCAGGGTTCAAGTCCCTGTTCGGGCGATAGCACTTTTTGTTAATGTTCAGAACTCAATTGTTAATCTGTACTAATATTATAAAGAGGAAAGATTTGTGTTTTTGTATGTATTGAAATAACTCAAAAACTACTGGGCCGATTATAAAAATTCTTTTACCGTTACAAAGGTATACAAAGGCTATATTTTTTAATTTGACGCGGGCAAAGTCGTGAGCAACAGCTAGTTATTATTAAAACATATTAACTGCTTTATTATTGTCTTGATTGCAAAATGATTTTGAATACATTTTAAACATTTCTTTACATTTGAAATCTACGAAGCAGTGTTTAGTGTTCAATTTTAAAGGCACTTTTAAAACGCAATAGCAAAATGAACTCAACTTTGTATAATTAGTAAAAGTTTTTTGTAAATTCAAATTTGACAT